TTGTATGTCAATTGGGATTGTAATTGAACATTCAGTTGTGCAAGTCCATACACAAAATGGTTTGGCAGAGTTGTTTATTAAGCGTTTACAACCTATTGTTAGACCATTACTTATGAAAACAAAACTCCAAACTTCTGTTTGGGGTCATGCCATACTACATGCTGCATCATTTGTTCGTATTAGACCAACTGCCTATTATCAATATTCACCTTTGCAACTGGCATTTGTTTATGAACCTGATATTTCTTACTTACGGGTCTTTGGTTGTGCTGTCCAAGTTCCTATTTTACCCCCCACAACATATTAAAATGGGTCCCCAACAAAGACTTGGAATTTATGTGGGTTTTGATTCACAATCAATTATTATGTATCTTGAACTTTTAACAGGTGATTTATTTACTGCACGTTTTGCAGATTGTCATTTTGAAAATGACTTTTCCAACTTTGGGAGGGGAAAAACTACATCTTGAAAAACAAGATAAAATTATTTGGAATGAAGTAACTCTATTTTACTTTAATCCCCGCAACAGTCAATGTGAGCAAGGGGTTGAAAAAATCATTCATTTGCAAAGAGTTGCAAATCAATTACCTGATATATTTGTTGACATAAGAAAAGTGACAAAGTCATATGTTCCAGCAAAAAATATTTCAACAAAAATTGATGTCCTTGTAGGACAATTTGCTGTAGCAACTGAATCTCAAATACGTCAGAAGCGTGGTCGACCAGTTGGTTCAAAAAACTCTGAACCTCGAAAAAGAAAAGTACATGAGAAAAACCAACCAAAACTTCGTAAGAAATCACATTAGAAAAGATTGATCAATCATATATTGAAAATACGGTTCCTGAAAAACCACAAGGGTCCGAAAATAATGAGATTTTAATAAATTATATGTTATCTCATAAATTATGAGAACGGATAATGTTGTTATAGACAATATTTTCGCATTTAATGTGACTCTTGATATTATGCAAAATAAGAATCCTGAACCATAGTCGATTAAAGAATGTCAAAATAGAAATGATTGGCTAGAATGGAAAGAAGTCATATAGGCGGAATTGATTTTTTTGGAGAAACGAAGAGTGTTTGGACCCGTAATTCGAGCACATGAAAATGTAATCCCTGTTGGATATAAATAGATTTTTGCACGAAAAAAGAATGAAAATAATGAAATTATAAGGTACAAAGCCCGACTAGTAGCTCAACGTTTCTCACAAAGACCAGTAATTGATTACGAGGAAACATATTCTCCCGTAATGGACACCATCACTTTAAGATTCTTAATTAGTTTGACTGTGTGACAAAAGTTTGATATGCGTCTTATGAATGTAGTAACTGCATATTTGTATGGTTCACTTGATAGTGACATATATATGAAAGTCCCTAAAGGACTTAAGGTGCCAGGAACAAACGATACATGCACGAGAACCATGTTCTCAATTAAATTGCGAAGATCATTATATGGATTAAAAAAATTCAGACGCACGTGATATAATCGCCTTAGCGAATATTTGTTGAATGAGGGTTATAAAAAATGACGATATCTGCCCATGTGTTTTCATAAAGAAAACAAATAGTGGATTTGCAATTGTGGCAATTTATGTTGATAATTTAAATATAATTGGAACTCTTGAAGAGCTCAACAAAACTGTTGATTATTTGAAAAAATGAATTTTAGATGAAGGATTTGGGAAAAAACCAAATTTTGTCTTGAATATTTCGCAAATGGATTATTTGTTCACCAATCTACGTATACAGAAAAAGTTTTAAAACTTTTTTACATGAATAATGCACATCCATTGACATCACCTATGGTTGTTCGATCACTTGACGTGAAAAAAGATCTATTTCATCCACTTGAAGATGGAGAAAAAAAGTTTTTGATCCCAAAGTACCATATCTTAGTGCAATTGGAGCATTAACTTATCTTACAAATTGCACTTGACCCAACATATCTTTTTCTATAAATCTTCTTGCAAGATATAGCTTTACACCAATTCAAAGACATTGAAATGGTGTTAAACATATTTTTCTTTACCTAAATGGTACTATTGATTTGAGATTATTTTATTCTCAAAAGTCGAGATCTGCTTTTGTGGGATTTGCAGATGCAGACTATCTATCTGACCCACATAAAACTAAATCACAAACATGTTATGTGTTTACACGTGGAGGAACGACTATATCATAGAAATCTGTGAAGTAATCCTTGACAGCTATATCTTCAAATCATTCTGAAATTATTACAATCTATGAACCAGGCCGAGAATGTGTATGGTTGAGAAATATGACACATCATATCCAAGTATCATACGAATTAATTTCAATAAAAGATAATCCAACAATTTTGTATGAAGACAATGCAGATTGTATTGCATAACTCAGTGGAGGCTATATCAAAGGTGATAAGACGAAGCATATTTTTCCAAAATTCTTTCATACACATGAGTTTCAAAAGAATGACGATATCGATATCCAACAAATTCGTTCAACTGACAATGTGACCAATTTATTTGCAAAAACACTACCAACATCTACATTCAAGATATTAGTTCATGGGATTGGAATGCGTCGACTCAAAGATTTTCAGTGATCAATATCAGGGGAGTAGCTGTACTCTTTTTTCTTAGCTTAGGTTTTGTCCCACTGGATTTTCCTAGCAAGGTTTTAATTAGGCAACATTTATTTTTAGTACTCCAAAATAACTGTACTCTTTTTCTTTCGTTTGATTTTTTTCCCATTGAGTTTTTATCAAACAAGATTTTAACGAGTCAGATATTTTGTAATATGTCATTCAAGGGGAGTGTTGTAAAATGAAAGTTTATTAGAGTTTAGAGGCGAATGACAATTACACCCCTGCAGCCCTAGAAATAATTATTATTGTATCCATAATTCTGCCCTATAAATACAGGGCTTCTTAATAAAACACACACAAGTCTATTTCTTTTCTTCACTTTTATAACAATTATTTAATTTTTAATATTGATTTATTTGTTTTAAGACCATTAAATAAATAAAATAACATATACCAAACAACTAAGTCATAAATATATATATCATTACTACGACAATTTCAAAGTTTCCAGAGGAATAATTTCTACTTAATAGAGCTGTGGTTAAATAGCTAATAATAAATAAATAAAAACATATAAAAAAATATTTGACAAAATTATGTTAATTTTCAAAATTAATTAAGCCTCAATTGGTTTGAGCTCCATTGTGTTGAAAAAATAAATTTTGTAGTAGCATTTTTTGGAGAATGTATGCTTAAAAAATTCATGTTTAAGTGTAGATTATTTTATAGGAAGAATGTATGGTTGAAAGTAAGTTTTTTACGAATAAATAAATAATTGAAATAATGGGGCTCAAATAATTGCAATTAATTTTTATGATATCCACTTCTAATATCAATAGAAAATGGGACATTAAAAAGTATTTGTAAATTAGTTGTATGAATTTAACATAATAAAAATTAAGCGCAACCAAGTTTAATGGAAGATTTTTGTCAATATATTTAATTAATTTTGAAAAATAACATATTTTTGTCAAATTGTATCTTCTATATTTTTTATTTTACTTATCATTAGCGGTTCGACCCTGATTCTATTAAATATACTGTTAAGAACTTTGAAATTGTCTAGTTTTTGAAAACTTGAAAATTGTCTAGTTGTAGAAATGATCTTATTTATAATTTTAGTTATTTGGTAGATATTATTTTATTTATTTAATGATATTAATAAAATTAAAATAATAGAAAATTTTTAAATGCTCTTTTAGAAACTTGAAATTAAAGTTTACCGGTTGGATTGTCCTAAATTAAAAATCCAGTGACTTGATTGCAAGAGAGGCTAAAGTTTAGCTATCCCTGTAAAATTTATTTTGCTGACTTGGCAGAACACATGGAGATTCCTATACTAGTGACAGCCGCATTACTAGCTCCATTAAGTGGTTGAACGATAGGCTAACAAACGAGCCAAATTGCTCGTAAACTAGAGTACAATAATGTTATTGCTCCTAATTAAATTTCAGCAGCCTAATTGCAAGTTCAGTGACTGCTAGTAAAATTTACCCATTAAAATTCACAATAAAATATTTACAAAACGTCCCCACGTCTCATTGAATGTCCAAAACTCCACAAGGGTCTATTTAACTTACCCTTCATTTGCCTTGGGATTTATCCTAAAGTTTTGCAAAATGGGCATTTATGAAATTTACATCGATACATTTGTAAACACGCAGCACGATTGACTCGATCATGATATCGAGGGAAGGGACGTAAGATACTCAGAGGAATGGTTCATTTTTAAAGAAATTAGTTCTGATTTTTCACTCAAAAAATCAATTTTTTTATTGTTACTTCCCTAACTCAGTCATCATTTTTTACTTTTTATCTTACAGGTGAGACCCATTTTTCTCTCTGACGATTAAAAAATCAATTTTTATAATCAATACCTAACAATTCCTATGTAGCTAAATGGGACCCACAAAAACCAAAAAAAGTTATTTTTTTTGCATTAATTACATCAAACATGCCCTTACGCATGAGGGTCTGACTCTAGTGGTTGAAAACGTCCTCCCCAAGTTTTTAATGTTTATTTTAGAATCTTCAAAGGTTTGAACCCTTGCTCCCCAAGAATATCTTCATTTTCTTTATTCCACCTGTAGGATTGTTATTTTGGCCCCCGTTTGGTGCACATTATTTGGGAAAATAATATATTTTTTTTCATCAAATCACCCTACAATATTTGACTTCAACACTCTAAGGTTGGACCCATGATATGATGTTTAAAATGCATTTTTATTGGAAAAATGTGGAACAAACGGATCCTTGATGTTTAATTAGAGAATAAATTGTAGCATTTTTTTATAACTTTATACAAAGTCAATGTAGTTTAGGACCCCCACCCTATATGGAAGAGTACTGCAGAAGTCTCTACACATTTATATATAGTCCATTTTTTGAAATGATCTATACAAATATATGTGTGCAGAAGCCAGAAGTGATATAGGGGATATGGAGTTGAAGTCACAAGAAGATTCTAAGAAGTTAAAGAGCCTTTCTTGGTATTATGCCCTAATAGGGTTGCTTCTGAGTCTCAATGTTGCCGTATATCTAAATGGATATTCAAGAAATGTGAAGAAATTTATCGAAAAGGAAACTGGTACGTATAGGACTCAAGACTAGTTGTGCTTTGTCTTGATATCGCTAAATCTTTAAAAGTTTACACAATTTTTGCCAAAACTAACATTTTCCAATCTAATGTTCAGATCAAATGGTACCAGATATTTTGATCAGCAAAACCCTTGAAGGAATCATCACAATGGCAATCAAATTTCTCAATTTCTTCATTGCCAAATTGTTCCAATTTAGATATCATGTGCCACTGCAATCTGCATCTTCTTTCATGCCACTGCTATTTTGGGTGGTGTTGACTCACTCAGTCTCATCTTTGTATTCTTAATTATTGGATATTGAGTCCTAAGTTTAACAATGTGAATATTGATGTTGTGCATGCATTTCGTAAGTTAAATTAGACAGGATTTAACAAAATCGATGAGTGATTGTAATCGTAATTATGTCTTATCGTGTCTTTTGACATGTTATTGTGACGTTAACATGTATGAGGTGGCTTTTTTTTTTTAAGTGTATTTTAAAACATCTGTAATTATAAGGGTGTTTGACACCCATTTTTATGAAAAATGAATGTTAAAATAGTAGATTGATGGAGAATGTGTAGAAGAAAAGTTTTTTATTTACATGTAATATTATTTTAATAGAGAATGTGTAATTGAAAAGAAGAGAGAGCAAAATGCATTTTCGGAAAAATGAGAATCAAACGGGGCCTATGTATTTTTCAAGTGATATTTGCCCAAAAAATAAGGGGAACTTACAAAAATACCCTTAAAATTATGGGTGTTTTGAAAAATCATTTGAAAAAATTTTTAGAAGTAAAAAATACTGTGTAAAACTAAAAATTGACATTGCGTCACTTTTTTATAAAAATTGTCACTTTTATTAACACAATTCAAAAAACAGATACAAAATAAAAAAAAGTGACAAAATTCAAATAACAGAAACACTCCAAAAATGACAAAAAAAGAAAAAAGAAAAGAAAATATGACATAAACTCAAAAAAAGTGACAAACATCAAAATAACATAATTCATTTGTGCAACACCAGTAACCATGTTCTTAACATAATCAGCATGTATAGGACAATCCACATGCTAATTATGTTAGGAAAATATCACATATTATGTCACATTTTTAAGAAGATAAGAAAGTGACAAATATTAAAAAAAGTGACAAAAACATAAAAGAAGACAAACTCAAAAAATTGACAATAAAACAAAAGTATTTTGGAAGTAAAAAATACTGTGTAAATTTAAAAGTGACATAATGTCACCTTTTTTTTTTTTTTTTTTTATAAAAATTGTCAATTTTTTTTAACACAATTCAAAAAAAGTGACACAAATTCAAAAAAGTGACAAAATTTAAAAAAAGTTACAAACTCAAAAAAAGTGACAAAATTTAAAAAAAGTTACAAACTCAAAAAAAGTGACAAACACCAAAATAACACCATCCATTTTGTTCGCCTGCCCTTTCATATAATTTTCCACCGATCACCATCTCCCATTACAATATTTTCACTAAAAAATAGTAACAAATTTAACAAAAAAAAATTGACAAAAATTTAAAAAAGTGACATAAGTTTTGAAAAAGTGACGAACTCAAAAAAGATACAAATTAAAAAAGTTACAAAGATTAAAAAAAAAGTGACAAACACTCAAAAAGTGGGGAAATTTAAAAAAAAAAAAAAAGTGACAAACACTCAAAAAGTGGGGAAAATTAAAAAAAAAGTGACAAACACTCAAAAAGTGGGGAAATTTAAAAAAAAAAAAAAGTGACATTCAAAAAAGTGATTGAAAATTAAAGGGGACAAAAAAGCTTTTTATCTTAATACAAAGAAGAAATCAATCAAATAACCAGGGACAAAAAGACCTACAAAACCATGAACCCCAATTTCGATCTCTTATCAATAAATCATTCCCAATTATCACCCTAAACTTGATAAAGCTTTTTATCTAATTCCATATCAAAATATGGATCAAGTGAAGCTTCAACAAGCGTTTCTTGCCAATTACAAAGAAGAGACGATGACAATGACTCTCTAACTCTCTTCGCGACAAAATGTCCCCACGGACCGTGTCTATCAAATATCCCACAGAATATCATCTCTTCTTGGCATCCAAATTCCTACAACAGTAAATTACACAACCTATTTATCACCAAGAAACCTCAAAGAAAGCCACATTTTCATAGATAAATATACCTCCCAAACAGAAGCAAAATTCTTTGACCCATTGACATTGATAATGCCTGATGATCTTCGTATCAAGTCATTCTTTTTTGCATTTTTTTTATCATAGATTTCTCTAGCATCAGAATTCCCACAATCATTCTTCAAACTCTTCATTTTCTTGGTCCAAAGGGTCCTTGCTAATCCATTGAACATTGAAGATAAATGCCCCATTGGCACAATTCTCTATCTGCACAAATTCAAATCATACTCAAATCACATAGGTAGGCATATAATCTATATATAGACATGATCACATCAATCCATGAGAAATTTAACTTCATTAAGTTGCTTGTAAAACCAACATGTATAAAGTGAAATTTAACTTCATTAAGTTGCTAGAGCTTAGCTTAGATTAAGTACAGTAAAATATCATTCAAGATTGCTTAAAGAGAGTAAAACACACAAGTTTGAGTTAAACTTTTTTCTTTAGATTATAGAGCGTGCAAGAAACTGGAAGAGGAAATGGAGAGAGATTGTAAATGCCTGGAAAAAGAAGAAGAAATCAATCAAATAACCAGGGACAAAAAGACCCACCAAACCATGAACACCAATTTCGATCTCTCATTAACAAATCATTCCCAATTATCCCCCTAAACTCCATTATTTCGTCTTTCTTTCCATACTTTATTGCATTAACAATATAATACCACAGAATAAAATGATCTAATCTCGACATTGTAGCGAACATTGTAGAATTAGAATGAGAAAAACATCATTTGAAGAAATTGAACAAATCAATCAACGTTTCAGCCTCAAAATTGGGGATGTAAACAGAGAAATCAAATCTAAAATCATATTGACTTCAAATCACTTGCCAATGTCAGTTCTCAGCTCTTTTCCAAAAGATTGGAGAGTTTCTGCAAATTCTCTAAATGCCAGGAATTCTCGTTACCTTCTAGGAATCGGAGCCTCAGCAGGGAGATTCTTCGAAATTCGGAGCCGGAGTGCGGCGATAAATAGGCATCAGTTTTGGAATTGGATTCAGGTTCATTATATTAAATATGTCTATCTTAACCAATGGTGCCGGAGCCTACGTCGACGTAGGATGTTCTGGTTGTTCTCCTTCCTCATCGTAGTCAGAAGCAGTTGAGTAAGCTTGGAAGGATAATAATTAATATGTTCTGATGAAAGAGATATATTGGTGGGATGGGGGTTTTGCGGTTTAATAACGTAATTGATACGTTCTTAAAATATTTAATTATTTATTAGGGTATTAATCAAATTAGTTAATTTTTAAGGGTATTGGACCTAATTTTCCCAAAAAATAATGAACAAAGGCCCGTCAATAGAAAGCCCATGGGGCATGATTTGAGCCCAAATATTTCCCCCAAAGGCGCAAATTGATACCTGTGTCAGATGGCGGGAAAACACAAACCTAAATTCTGACCAAGTCCATCGAGCACGTCAGAGAGAGATGGCGGAGGCGGAGAAAGAGACTGTGGTGACTGAAAAGGTGGTGGCGGAAGCAGAAGAGCTGCCGAAGGCTATCGTGCGCCGGCTGGTAAAGGATAAGCTATCCCAGCTCTCATCCGATTCCGAAATCTCAGTTTTCCGCGAGGCACTCGAAGCCTTCTCTGACAGCGCTCGTATCTTCATCCACTATCTCTCCGCCACGTAAGAAGATAACCAAAAGTGCCCCTAATTATCACCTACACATTTTATATTGTTTAAGTGTGCCGATTTTATTTTCCAAGAATTTTCTTTCTTTTTTTGTTTTTTTCACACTCTGTCTCCCTTTTTTGTTTAATTTTGAGTTCATAGTTTGGCATAAGAAAATGGGTTTCTTTTGTTCAATTCCGGGGTTTATTTCTATTTCTTCCGTACTTGGTTTTCACGATGTATTTGTTAAAGGTTACATTAAAAAGCTCATTATTAGTTTTTCTGAAATTACATTCTTCCTTTTGAATTTTTTTCAGTAATAAAAGGAGAGTAGTCTAATGTGAAATGCTGTCATTATCCTGTATTTTTTGCGTGTTTATTAATAATTCCAGAATTTTGGGTCAAATTAGCTTTTTATGTGACGATAATTCTGGAGTAGTTTTAACAATTAGTTCATTCATTTCTGGAATTAAGTTGAAAGTTTTTAGGATTAAATGGTTATTGTTAGCAATACTATTTTGTGAATATTTGTGAATATTTGCAGTGCGAATGACATTTGTAAGGAGTCAAAGAGACAAACAATCAACGCGGAAGATGTATTTAAGGCGCTGGAAGAGATAGAATTTTCAGAGTACGTTGGGCCCCTAAGAGCTTCTCTTGAAGGTCATATATACTATACTAAACATTTGCAGAAGCTTTCCGTTTACCTCAGTTGATCTTCCTGTGGACATAGTACTTATGACTGCGTGTTGTAAAAAGTTACTCTATCAGGGGTATTTGATCAGATTTCAACTTCCCAAAATTTATCAAACGTGGATTTGAGGGGGAGAGTCAAACCTGTCCTTAGGGTCTTATTGCCTTATTACTAGTCGAAGTTTAGGCTATCTAGTTAAGGAAAAACTAGAACTTGTGCATAATAAGACTACTCCATTTAAAATAAGCCTCAGCCAATTTTCTTTTCCAACTTGAGATTTCTTTTTTCATTTTCTCTAATATAGGTGAGTGGAAAGCTGGTAGTTATTTGTTCAAATAGGTACGTAACAGGTTGCTATTCTAACAATCTGGTCTTTGAGAAGCCGAGTTCAGCTTTCTCCATTCTTATAGTGTGTCAATGATTTAGCTTCTCAAAATGAAGGAGGAGAATCAGCTTTAACTGCAATATCTTGTGTAGCCTTTGAAGAATATTATTTGTCATGGATTTCAAAAATTCAGTATTTCCAAGATGTGATTTTGATTTTGAGCCTCTTCCCCCTTTGAAACGTTACAACTTTCTCAGTTCTTACAAACCTTCTTCATCTTAAGTACTATTCTTGGACTAATATAAAAATCGGAGACAGGGACAACACCGCAACCGGTGATTTCTAACACAAATCTACTGGTCTTGATATGAATTCAAATTAAGTTATTAGGACTATGCTATCCGAAGAATTTTTTGAACCATCTTATTTAAAAACTTGATCAAATGTGAAGATTTCGATTATCGCAGCCTTCTTTCTCTAAAAATTGTTCACTTGTCTAGGTTTGACCTAAAAAATTAATTTGGCCTGCCATGAGGAACATGTTGAAGACTAAAGATAAACCTTTGTTTGAAAGTAATTATCTGAAAATCATTTTTCCCTCACACACTCATTTTCAACTACACATTCTTAAAAAAAATAAATTTTCAAATATTCACATAACATTTCCCTACTTTTTTTACCGCCCTTTCACAAAAAATATAAATCACTTTTAAAAAATCAATTTGACACAAGCAATAAATAAATAAATGTGTCATCTCTAATTACTAAAGCTTATAGGCAGGGCGGCTCAACAAGAACAACTCCAGTTTTTTGGATATTGTTGTGTGCATTTAGCTTTGCAGGTTCTTAAATTCTTGTTGCAGAAAGAGATGATGGCCTTAGGCTATTATCTCTGTTGCATATGGATATTTCTAACAAAAATGTTCTTTTTACATATGCTTGGTCTCTTTTTCTCTCTCTATCTCTCCCTCCCTCTCATCCACACACACACATTTATGCATATTTATGTATATATTCGTTTTGAGAGCGATCCAACTTAATTTTTCTGTAAAAATTATTGACACCTGAATTCTTGTTTTCTTTATCTTAAATATCACTATTTTACCAGATTTTAGGAAAAAGAATGGTGGAAAGAGATCTCTATCCTCAAAGACGAAGGAGACCAATAAAAAAGCTAAAAAGAAAGATCTACCTTCAGGAAGTGAGACTCAAAATAAAGATGATGAAAATGAAAGTAATAAAGAGGACAATGCGGACTGAACAGAATATTCCTATCACTATCACTGGATTAGGAGCATCATACTTAGCATTGATTTTTCTGTTCTGTTCTAGTCTAAAGAGTACATTGCATTTGAATTTTGTAAAAGAAATTTTCAGATTTGGTCAGGAGAATGTTCGTAGTATATTTTAATGAGCCTGCATGCACGTTGTTCTTCAGTATCTCAATGGTAGAGTGATCAGCTGAAAATTTAGTATTTGTTTCCACCATAATTATCTTCAACTTGTAACATTCCATCTTTATTCTTTGATTTGAAATGCTTCTGCTAGTTTGCATTATTTCGTATCATCCACTGTATTTATTCTATCATTAGACGGTGTCCTGTTATGTCTCCTGTCTATTGTGCTGAGGTTATTATTTCTTGCATTGACTCTGGAAGTTTGATTGTCTCCAATTACTGATTTTAGGTCACTGCTTTTGTCAGGGTAGGCGAAAAATGTAGTTTTAAGCAGAAACAAACTGATCTGGAATGAAATATATGGTTAATGTTTAGTGTAAAAGGGCAAAGTAGACACTGTACAAATATATTGCCCACGTGCTGTTCTAGAGGCAAATTTTTATGTTACCTTATTTATCACCAAAATTCTGTCGTTAAGCTTGGTATGAGTGATGTATCATAGGCCCGCAGATCCTTTGGGAATTTGCCACAGGCATCAGATAATTGAACAAGGCAGAGCTTAAGCCGTGAGAATGTCAAAAAACAGCCAACCGTTGAACAACGCACCCCAACTTTTCACATGTTATGCGGTTTCAACAATTAATCCAAACCAAATCTCTTCACTCATAGCTAAGGCACACAAAGGCACTGGTTATCCCATTTCTCACCATGTCTCTTATTTAAACTTGTCACAATGTCACCTAACCGTAAGAGTCTTGTTGCTGACATTTCTAAAATTCTGTACATAATTCAAATTGGAAAGCAGCCATGGATACTGAAATTTGAGCCTTAGAAGAAAATGGAACTTGGTCCTTCTTAACCTTGCCTGAAGGGAGGAAGCCAATTGGAGGTTGTTGGGTGTGTAAACTTACACACAAGACAGATGGTAGCATCGAAAAATACAAAGCTTGCTTAGTTTCCAAATGATACAACCAAATAGAAAATATGTACTACAGTGTCAAGATTTTTAGCAGAAGCTGAATACAGGGTAATGTAACACGTGTACTTATGTGGCTAAGGTATTTGTTCAAAGATTTAGAGGTTAATCTTACAGAGGGATGACATTCTTTTGTGATAATTAGGCAGCACTACATGTAACTGCAAATCCAGTATTTCTCAAAAGAGCAAAATGTATCGAACCGGATTGTCATGTGGTTAGAGAGAAGATTAAATGGGTTTGCTGGTCATGTGGTTTGTCAATTCATCAAGAAAAATAGTAGATATGTTTACCAAAGCTTTTGGAAAGTCATTTCTCAAGAGTCATATGGACAAGTTGGGAATTTTATACATTTATGCTCCAACTTGAAGGATAGTGTTAAAATTTGACTTTCAAAATAGGAAGAATCGTTAATATGCATAATTTGTCATGACAAGCTGTACTGCAATTATATTGCTCCTTAGTAGCCCCAAATTTGACCGTGAATGTGCATCTAAAGAGGCTTAATAAAAGTGAAGAAGGTAGGATTTTCAGTTTTCATGGTAGATAATAAGCAATGCACAGTTTTGAGTTTATAACTGGTGTGAAACCCTTGTAATTATAATCAAGTGTTCTTGCTAATCGTACCCCAATAGGATTCGTAAGATTCAATACTTTTATTTGGTTTGTACTTGACCTTATAGATTCATTTGCAACTGGTCATAATTTTATGGACCAAGCTATCTTGACAGGGAGCCCTCACTCTCAATGAGGAGAGGGAAGGTGCACTTTTTTGGCATTTTTTATTCAAGCGGATCCCATCACATGTTAGTGAATGTCAAACAAGATATCAAATATTTTTTTGGCAAATAAGATTTATTGTAATTTTATTCATGGGTGACGATGTCCACCACCATCATGATTACATGTCAGATTGTTGTCTTTCTTGCTAGATGTTCTTATTAGAAGAACCTAAATTTTTTTTAACTAAGTGGCTTACCTCTTGTTTGGTTTAGATAAAGATCAAAATTTTAAATTTTGATAAAAGTTGATCAAATACGTGATTGAAAAGTAGTGAAGTTGATGAAATGTGTTAATAAAATTAAATATTGACATTGACTTAAATTTTAATCAATTGCATCTATCTATTGTTATTTTCTTTTGAATAAAGTTGATGATAGCATACAATGAATAAAAAGCGAAAATAACAGAATTGAAATATTCAATGAATTTATTATTTATAATATAAAAAGACTTTTTCGTTGAAACAAATCTAAACCAAACATACATATTTTGCTTATTATAAGTACCAAAGCTATTCGAAATTGAAATAAGCAAATTTAGCGATGATTTTATTACTTGTTTCCACCATAGCGTCTCTCTCTTTTCTGAAACGAACTCAAGGCCTCTATGAAATCTTCTTCGTTAAAGTCAGGAAATTTTTTCTTCGAAAAGAAGATCTCTGTATAAGCCAACTGCCACAAGTAGAAATTGCTGATTCTTTGCTCACCACTTGTTCGTATAAGCAAATCCGGGTTAGGAAATTTAGCACAGCCTGTTTTCAATTCCTTCTCAAATAGGATTTCGTTTATATCTTCAACTTGGAAAATGCCATCTTTAACTTTGCCCGCTATGCTTTTAGTGGCTTGCATTATGTCGTAGCGTCCACTGTAGTTTAAAGCTACCAGAAGATGGAGTCCAGTGTTGCCTCTTGTTGTCTCCTCTGCTGTGGCTACCAGTTCCTGTAATGGCTCTGGAAGTTTTGATTTGTCTCCAATTGCTGATATCTTCACATTGTATCTGCCAAAGTAAAAAAGATTGGATTACAATTTGCTAACGAAAATAATAGATATGTACATTTTTGTGATTCTTCTAACAAAATTTACATTTCAGTAGTAGAATAGTGTAAACATTTAAAGAGTACCTCGTAACTTCGTCCATATAAGTTTGTCCCACCTCTTCAAATAGGCCCATGAGAAAGTCAACCTCCTCCTACACCATAGTAATTAGTAATGTGGAGCACATTAATTTGAATACTTGAGAAACTGCAGAAAAGAGAATATGTTCTTTTTCATGCATGCAAATTATATTGGTTACACTAAAGTGCTCATGAGTATTAACAGCTTGTTTGGTTTAGATTTTAAGCTAATTAAACTCAATTTTTTGATTGCTATTCCACTATTTCAGCTATTATTTTTGAATTTTTTTCTCACAAATAGAATCACTTTATCTCTAACGATCAAAAAATTAATTATCAAAATTCCTACCAAACAAGCACTAATTAGTCGGGTCGAGTCCAATTACCTTGGGTCGAGTCCAATTTTCCGTTGAAAATGCAAATATAGAAAGAACTTTGACTCCCCATTTATTGCAGAGAAATGCGATATTCTTTATTACACGTCCACCGGACAGATGGCCAAGTTCCATTGATAAGCCTTTCTCCTTGGCCCATCTCCGGTTACCGTCCAAAATAATAGCAACGTGTTTAGGCATAAGCTCTGGTTTGAGACCTTCAGGTAATGCCTCATGGTCTTGCATTGACTTTATGGGTGAAAGAGTCTTTCTCCTTCCCTGTCGGGTCGTACCCCCGTGCTGACACAGAGGAGGAAATCTTAATGCATCTTGCTTAGAGGGCATATTCTTGATGGAGACTGTAGTGGGGGTTCGGTAAGGAAAGTTACTGCGCCTAGAGACGGAGTCGGACCGGCTATGCAAGGGACTAATTCCCGAGAAGGCAAATGCAGATGAGTTGACTAAACATGCCATGATTGGGAACTCAAAATTTGGGAAAGACAACGAGAACTAAGCCCTTCCTACTTTTTTCTCTTGATTTGCCTTTGCCAGCCCTCTCAATTATATAAGAGCAAGTTCAATCACGCTACAAGTACAGAAAATTTAACAAAATTTTTGACAAACAACACACAACGTGGAATTATCGGAAGATTAAAAAAAACATAAAAAAGCAAGTGAATCAAGTTTCGCCTCGTCAACATCTATATGAATCCGATAAGAAATTTCCTGTAAGACTTTTTCAAAGCAAGTTTTGACAGGTTTGCCTAATTAACTTATATCATTTTCAGGAGGAAGAGGTACTTCAAACAAAATGTATTCTCTAAAAAGTAAAAAGTCAATACTTAAAATTATACACTCTAAAAGATTCTTTATATTAACATTTTAAAATAGAATGTATGTTTTACTACGAATTAAATGAGTTCAAAGTATTTTAATTTTCAATGGAGTAAAATAGTATAATAATTTGGATGGAAGTTAATGAAAATAAAAGATCGGAAAAACAACAAATGTTTTCGGGAGAAGCAAAATTAAACCCTTGTTTAGTATTGATTCAAATCAAATTTAATCTAAGTTAAAGTCAAACCATTAATAATAATCACATATTTTATGGATTCCACATCATTTCAACCACACATTTAAATTTTTATTATTTATTTATTTATTTTTTACATCAAAATATGCTAAAAATCTAATTTTAATCCATACTAAACAAGGGAAGTATTAAATAAAAAGTGTAAAATGTAAAGACCATCTTGGAGTACTTAAAAATTTCTAGTATCTAAATTGCAAATTATGCTCTTTAAAAATAAAGAGATTTTCTATTTATAAAAAATATTTTATATATAATAGAGAACATTTGTAAACTCAGAGAGTAAGCGTACGTTTGATTTTCAATTTTTTGTTTAAAATTAGTTGTGTAATTGTGAATTTTTAAAGAATATTTGGTTAAAAAGTAAGAAAAGTTTTGAGTTTAATAAGTGTAAAATATTTTATTTTGAGAATGTGTAGCTAAAAATGAATTTGAAAAAAAATAAATTAGATAATGGGGTGTGTTTTGACTCTTTATTTTATTTTTTTTAATGAACATTTATTGATTCACATCATTTCCTATTTAACATAATTTAAAGAATAGTACTATTTGTAGTCGTTCACTACTGCGGTCATTTTACGTGACATATATGTGACGTTTAGTGAATTATTTCATAAGATAATAAAAAAGTACCACATTAATATATCAGATCACTAATTGCTACATTTATGCTATATAAGGCGACTACGGCATTGAAAAACTGCAAATAATATTACTCTAATTTTTATATTTTAATGGCGAATAAATTCATTTGTAATTTGAATAATTTAAATTTATTGGAATTTGTAACTTATGATTATGAAATGCAATTATTGTTATGGAGAGTCATTTTA